TGCTGCTAATCTTCCCAGCTTCATGAACTGTCAGTCGGCATTGTGGGGAGCCGACAAGGCCTCGACTCTGGGCTGGTCGTTTGCAAAAAGAGCAGGCACCAAGGGGATATTATTTCTGACGCCCGAACAAAACGAACGGCCCACAACTAGCCCCGGTGACGTTCTGATCATGTCTTGGCTGCGACTTCAAAGGGAGCAGTACGAGGTAAAGGGGAGCCCCTTAAGATTACGGAGTCAATGGTTAATTTCTAGGCATGGAGAATATTTCCTCCTTGATGCCAACCTCTCAAGCTGCCGAACAGACCGGCAGTTGCACATGGGTCCGGTTAGGAGCACCATATGGTACCGAGTACAGATTCAATGGATGGGACGCAAATTGCGTCTGCCGTCGCAGTTTCCAAGCGCGCGGTAGCTTTGCATACACCAGGCACTTCACACGATCGGGGGGAACGGCTAAGGGCTCAGAGGTAGGTAGGGACAAACCATTGTTTTCATGCCTCCTGCGGAATGCCCTCTGCTTTGGTGTGTCCAAGATACGATCTATCCCAAGGCACTCACCGCGCTCTGTTCGGCATATACCTCACTACAAAACCCCGACCGAGCCATAAATATGACAGCGCACATCCCCTTCGGAGCAATTCGTTACGTCGACTTCTTCAGCTGATTGTCATGCGTCGTCCCTGCTAACGGGAACTGGCTGCCTATGCTGGACACTCCGTGGGAGTTCCCTGCAATGAGGCACGGATACAGCCAGAACATCCCCCACCTATGTCCCTGCGTACATACCAACACCACAATGAAAATCACATTGCAGGGACCTCCGGTTGACCTATGCGCCTGGGGGGGAATGACACGAATTTTGGTGCCGCAAGAGCAGACAGGACTAACTCTAGCAGCGACCCTGCAAACCCCTTAATTCCGTACCGACAAGTCGAAGGTCCCAACATTTGACGACAGACACTGAAGACCAACTAGTTAGTCGTCCGAGAACAAAACACCCACCAATATCTATCACCCCATGAATTTTGGGCTTGTGACAGACACGCAACCTTATCCAACACTATACATAAATAACAAAGTCTATGGTGGCGCGTCTATGACGAATGACTATCCACATTCTCGCTACTGTTAATTCCATCCTTCAAGAGGGCTGAGAGAGCCTCCAGGGGAAGGTCAGATGCAAGAGAGAGTGATAGAGACTCAAAATTGGTACAGATCAGACTTTGACACTCGCGACACCCGGCTTGGGCAGCCAGACTAAAATGATAACCTACGCGCACTGTGTTGTTGCACACAGACAGCCAGGTAGGTGAAGGAGCCTTTTCGTTTGATTTTTATTCTATTCGGGCCGCTGTGATTGCTTCACAGTCTCATCTTCGAACTCCCTACACCTTTCAAACGAGACCTTGGGTCTTGCAAGGAAACTTCTGTCTAATCTGTCTGTCTGTCTCCGTTCTCTTTCTCCCCACCGATTCCTCTCTTACTGTTTTACTCCTTCACTTGCCTATGCAAGGCTGCAAGGCTGCGTGAAAGGCCGACGCGGTATGGGTCAAGTCGGTAGTTGGCATCTGTCTACATACATATGTAGGTATATACTATCTATCAAATGCCTAGTGGCGCAGTTTTCCACCTTGTACGTCCATTCTCCGTACGTAGCAACATATTCTGGGGTTTCAAAAGATGCCAGACACCTCTCAGTGCATTTTATTGTAGTCAATCTACGAAGACGAAACACACAGATATACGGGAATCTCTGATTAGGCAACTCAGGTCTCTGATTGTACACTCAAGCTATGTAGCAAGTAGTCTATGTCTATTGCCTCTTCGACCAATCATCACAATGCTGCACGCTTGTGCTGAGATCATGCCTTCCATATCACATATCTCTCTGCCATCAAGATATCGAATGAGGCATGTGAATTGTCATAGACACCAACTCTATCTCCATTTTGCTCAATTCTTCTTCGGCGAGGGAGTCCGTCTGCCCTTGCGACCCTGAAACATTCATGAATGCATAAACCTTGCTGCCAGGGGGAGAAAGATTGGCCCCCCAGCTCACGACGGAAAAAAAAGCAATCTATCTTTGCCATCCCTGTGCGCCTGAGCCCCAACAAGGCAGTAATGCACAAAACAAGTCTATCGGTTCTTTGAACTTTGAAGGAAAGTGCTTGGGTAACAAGACTTGCGAGGCGGAGAAAAGGCTTCGACCGTTCCCACCGTTGTTGGGATGCTGCGTCGAGCGATCACTTGTTCGATCACCTTTACCACCTAGACCGGCCAAGCGGTGCAGCATTTGATGCAGTGAAGCCGCCACGGCCTCCGCGGTGACCACCGCGACCATATCCACGGCCGCCACCGCCACCGCCTCCGGAATATCGTGCCATTTCGGCAAGACGAGGATCGATACTTTGTTTCGACTCTTGCAGGACGGAAACTAGATCACGAGCTTGCTTGGCGTCTGTGAAAATGGTTAGCAATTTACAAAACTGGCGGAGGGGATTGAAACGTACTATCTGTTGTGAAAAGCGTAATGGCGGTGCCTTTCCTTCCAGCTCGGCCTGTTCTGCCGATTCGGTGAACATAATCCTCAGAGTTGTTGGGGTAGTCATAGTTCAACACGTGAGTGATATCTCGAACATCTTCAAGTATAGGTTAGCAACTCGGTCATTGGTGGTTCTTACGAGGCGCTGGGGACCATATGTGGTCGTGTGAGCGGAGGTGCATGTCACTCTCTGAAGCTCGGAGCATTATCCTTTGGGTGGCAAATGTCCATGTCCGGGAAATCGGCAAGCGTCTACGGTCCTTGGAAGTGAGAGATCCTGGATTTGCAGTTTGATCTGGTCAAGTAAACGTGTCCCACAACCTACTCGTGTCGGACAAGCAGATGTGGAAGTCAGGGAGCAGAGTCCCGGCAAACTGCAAAAGATTCCAGGATTTCCGGGAGAAGGACCGAGGAGAACACAAAAGCCTGGACAAGTTACGCAATGCAAAAGCGTAACAAGCGGAAAGAGAGTGCGGCACCATTTCCACACGACGGCAATGGTAAGAAATGCAAAAGACAAAATACAATAGGGAAAATGGGGTGGGGTTAGGGGATTTCTGTTTGTTCATACCGATACCACGGGATGCGACATCCGTAGCGACCATGATTGGGCTCTTGCCAGTTTTGAATTCGTTCAGGACCCAGTCACGTTCATTCTGCTGCTTGTCACCGTGAATGGCTGTTTGCTGTTAGCTTGTGTCCAAGAGAAATGGGGAATAAGGAATGAACTCACAAAGTGCTGGCCATCCGTCTTGACGCAGGAATCGAGTGATGTCATCGGCGACGCGCTTGGTGCCGGTGAAGATGAGGACTTTGTTATTACGATCTTCCATGATTTGCTCAAGGTGCTTGATCATGCGATCTCTCTTTTCGAATTCGGACACAACTTCGACGATTTGAGTGATGCGGTGATTTGCTGACAAATCCATGGAGCCGATGTTGACCTGAATGAAATCGTTGAGGTAATCGGAAGCCAGTTGTCGAACTTCCTTGGGCCATGTTGCAGACCACATGCAGGTTTGTCGGTCGGGTCGAATCTGGCCGATAATCTTGCGGATTTGAGGCTCGAAGCCCATATCAAGCATGCGATCTGCTTCGTCGAGAACCAAGTAAGTGACACGACGCAGATTGGTCTTCCCAGACTCCAGCATATCAATGAGACGGCCAGGAGTAGCGATGCAGACTTCCACGCCCCTAGTAAGGTCGCGGATCTGACCACCCTTGGGAACGCCACCATAGACACAAGTGTTCCTAATGCGGGAAGATTTGCCAAACTTTGTGATTTCTTGTTGGATTTGGACGGCGAGTTCTCGGGTCGGGGCAAGGACGAGGACAATGGGGCCGTCACCAGGAGCGAGGAGCGGTTGAGCGTTGATGTGCACGATAGCGGGGAGGCAATAGGTCAAGGTCTTGCCAGACCCGGTTTCTGCAATACCAACAACATCACGACCGGAAAGAGCCATAGGCCAACCTTGGGATTGAATTGGAGTGGGTTTGGCGAAACCTTGAGCCTTGACTTCCGACATGACATAACTAGGGAATCCCGCCTCGTCAAAAGTCTCGACTGGTCGGGGAACATTGCGGCCTTGAACTGTGATCTCATTCTTCCTGCGGAATTCATCGACATCGCGCTGCGACCTGGCTGTAACTGTGGGGTCCTCCTTGTAGAATGATTTTTCGAACTTTGGTAGATTGTTCAAATCCCAGTTCTGTTGTTTCAAGCCTGCTCCTAGGTTGGACATCTTGTCACCGCCTCCGCCAGAGTATCCGTTGGATCCGCCGTAGCCGTTGGTGTAGCCGTTAGAATGACCGTGGCCGCCACCATAACTGCGAAGTTGTTAGTCACAGGTTCGAAAACAACGGAAAAATAACCTGCGCCAGTCTGTCCTGCATCGCGCGGATTGAGCGCAAGACAGTTGGGACGCAGGAAATAATAAATTCAAACGATGCTCACGTACCCATTAGAATAACCGCCATCTCTTGATGATCCGTAGCCACCGTAAGACATGATGGGCGCCGAAATCCGTAAACTGTTGGTAGTAATCGACAATGATAGGGAAAGGGGACAAAAACCGACTGGACACAGCCGACTCTTTGTGTAGACAAAGTAAGAGGGTGAGGAAGAGTATAAGAGAGAAGAAAGTGAGAGTGAGCGAAGGGTGAGAAGAGATTGTTGTGATGAAGAAGAAGAAGGGGCGAAGGGTGAAATTTTAAAAAGACAGGGAAGGCGAAGGCAAAGGCTCCCAACCGCCGCTAAGAATCGGCTATACTGCATATGGAAAGTAAGCCGATAAAAAGTCTTGGCATTCCGATGGGACAATTTTCCAGGGCTCGCAGGATGTGCAAGGCTATGCAAGGCTGCGAAGCAGTAATACTATGTATGCAAGAAAAGGATTCAATCTGCTCTTTGGAGGTGTGATGCTATTTCTATCTGCGCATCAGGCAATGAGTCTTGCCATCAATAGTGCGTGCCCCCACCGATCCCTCCCATGTTCCAGAGATCTGTAATATCAAAGTCAAACAATGTCTCCGGAAAGGTGTTGAATGGGTCTGCGGTCGTCGTCACAAACGGATCCAGCTCTGGTAGAGGCTGACTTGATGTAGGGTGAGCACTCATTCCCACCAGTGTGTTGGCTGTGCTCATCGTCACGTCTTCCACGCCGTTGCTGCTGCCAACAGGTGGAATCTGGTGCGACATCATGTAGCCCTGGAGATTGGCGACCCGGTCAGCTGTCTCCTGTGCAAACCTGTCTGCTGGTGACCCTGGGGATAGTTTTGAACGCAGCAGCCCGAGCGCGCTGCAAGTGAGCCAGTATGTATGGAATCCTTGCCCGATACTTTTAATCCGTTCCTCCATCAGATTGACACCCTGCTCGATCAAATTCACAGCAAAGTTCCGATCCTGCAACAAGTCCTCTTTCGAACGTACCGGGCCGACGAGATCATGGCAAGTTGCTAGGCAAGCTCGGAACAAATCATGCCGAAGATTAATGTAGGTCTTCCTACTGCCCGGCCGCAACTCAGTAAATATCCTCATGGTCGACAGTGCTGCATTCCGCCGAGCTGCTCGCGAGTAGAAGTGTCGTGCCTGCGCGTCCGGCTGTGTGGCGAACGACTGGTGAATTAGCAATAGAATCTCATAAAGCAGGAGCTCCGAGAGAGGTTCCGATATAGCATTTGCAGCGTGATTCGACCATTTCGGGAGGTTGTCCAAGGTCTGCCGGATCTTTTGATCTAGCTCGATGGCAGCATCACTTTCAAGGCAGACACGAATGCTGTTGATCCTGGATAGTATCTCCAGACGGAGTGTTAAATGTTGATGGGCGAGGCAGAGGAATGATGTACGAGTGAATTCCGTCATTGGCCTGGCGGCAGGCATTTTTTCGCTCGATTCGTCAAAGTCTTCATCATGGAGGTTCAGCGGCGGTAAAGTGTCCCAATCAAATGGTCCGACGCTCGCTCCCATACCGCGATCGATACTGTTTTGAATATCAAGTTCGAGTATCGTGAACCAAAGCCTCCTGCGCATCTCTTGATCGAAGACAGAGATGGTGTTGCTCAAGAAGGTTGGCTCTCGATGCAGGCCAGACGACATGGCTTCTCGTAGCAGGTGCCCTGAAACAGTCCACTCTCGCTTGACCTTGACACAGTTTAACTTCTTGGCAATTACCAGAAGGACGCGGACCTGAAAAACCTCCAACGTCATGTGCTTCTGGCTTTGCAGATCTAGCCAACTCTCACAAACTTCGATCCATTTGACTGCTGTATCACGGCCGACAGTGCTCCGGCCGACGAATCCTGAGGGGCCGCCCGCCACGGAGCAGTTCGTGCTGGCGCACACCAGAAGGAGTTGCACAAGAAAATCCGGTGAAGAGTCTCTGGAGGATGCCCAAAACTCCTTGTATTTGCGAAAGAACGTCGGGGCATGCAGAACACGGTACGTTGTCTCCAGGGTCTCGAAATATTCTTGCACTAGAGCGTCTGCGCGGTTCTGTTCCGGGACCAATGATATCAAGGTATCGAACTCTGGAAGAATCAGGCCGGTGTTGAGATCTCGGCGTTGTTGTTTCCAGATGTTTCTCGATTTTTCGAGTGTCGGCAGTCGCTGCAGGATATCCTTGACAAAGCGAGAAAGTTCCTCGAATTGAAGAAGCAAATTAGCTCCATGACTTGGACCGAAATATTGCGTTTTGAAGCCTTTGCCACGGAGCAAGGCTCGTTCGTGGTCGTGTAGGGCACTCTTGCCGGTGCATACCCCTGGACCGGTGCCGTGACCGAGACCGAGATACACTGCTGAGGGGATGGGGCGGGTCCCCGCCGCCCTGACATGAGTCTCCAGTTCGTGTATTCGGTCCTGAAGCTCTCGTAAAGACTTTGTTTGAGTGCGAGGTTGAGAGGTGCTGGGTGGTTGACTATCCTCGTTGGCTCGGGCACTCTCGTGCTCCTTTGACCGGGCGTGCCAAACGTCGACATGTTCTAAATGATTTTGGTGTATTAGCTCCTGCTCGAATCATGAGCCGAGGGAGAACAAGTTTGATCTCAAAAGGTATGGGTAAAGATGAGGTGCCACCATTACCTAATATGATGGCAGATATCAGGGATTTCGGGAGGGTGGGCAGAAAGGACAGCGATCCGCAGGTCGTTTGAAGAAACACATTCGAGAACTCACCAGTCCAAGACGTAGCTGAAGCTTCCCTATGAAGCTGTGGACTCTCCTCGGATGGAGTAGGGAGGGCATTGTCCTGCTTGGTATAAGAGACATAGTCACAACTCACACCTCCCTTCTGACAGCGAACGCAGGTCGGATAGGTCCTGTCGCACTTCACCTTCCTCCGCCTACAGGCCACGCAGGAGAGTGCCAGGCGACGGCGTTTTGGACCCATCGTTATTGGGATCAAGTTTTGGGCGACGGATAGGTTAACACCGAAGGTCGGATAAAGCGAGCTTGACGAGGAGAAGGCCTTTGATGGCTGCTCCGTCTCGGCCCTGACTCAAAAGCTCTGGAGTTGATTGGTCGAAGTTCGCACCGCGATATTGGAATGGTGTTAACTTGTATAGAGCCTAGCCTGGATAGAAGATGTACACTTGAAGAATTACGGCGGTCTCCTCATGGAGGAAGCACTGCTGTGGTGACGATTCAAAGACTGTCATACACGGCATTCGATATCCATCAATTTTCGTGATACATTAAAGAGCAGGCAGAAATCATCGAAACAAATTGAGCTGTGCGAAGGAGCTTCCGGAAGAGGTCACCAAACGTCGGCGCTGGGCGCCGTGCGAGGCATTGGTGGCCATTGCCACTATGCAACTATCGATGTACATACGAACCTTGCAAGCTCGGAACCCATTCTCGGTCACTGTCTCGGCCGAGGTCATTCTTATATCCGCGCGATATCTCCGAGAAAGAGTGACATACGCCAAGAACACGTGACGTGTGAACCAACCTCGAGACCTGCAGAGGCTGCCAAGCTGCCTCGCTCAACTCGCTGCGACTGAACTTCTGGTGTTCCAATCACCCCATGCCTCTCCACTTAAACGACATCATTACACTCTACAAGTAGACACTTACTTGTTAGATCCAGGTATCGAAGCGCGACGTGAAGTGAGCCTCATCCTGGCCGTGGCGCACGCGGGCTGGCTTGATCGAGTGCATCGTCCCGTCTCGTTCCCAAGGATCGACCTCAACTCTCTCTCTCGCCATCTTACCGCTGACCAAGTTTGTTCGAGCTGGCTGACGCGTATCATGGTACTGATTCGTGTCATGATACTCGGCTGGCCAACGCTCGCTCTACTTTCGACGGTACTTTCTGCACGAAGGGATCTCTTGCGACCGACGGAGACATCCTATGATAGAGAGAAATAGGACCAGAATGGTGATTCGAGCATAACAATGCTAATAGTGCTAGCGGCAGAACCTATCTTGTAGTTCGAGCTACGAGCAGTCCTGGTGCGTTGTTGAAGAAAAGCAACCAACATGTCAAAACGTGGAGATATAGGATGATGGGCAATGCGTGCCGCCCTTGAGGCTGCCTTATCGTTACCGCTGACTCGGGATTTACGTCTAATCCTTGGTTTCTGATACGCGGACAAGGCACCGTATCTGGCGCTGGACAAAGAACACAAGGACTGCTGGTGACGATTTGCATTGTCTAGAGTTAAGTTGCTACTTGTGGGAAACTGACAAAGGGCGAGTTACAAGGTTTCACAAAGGGCATGGAGAATATTCTTCTTTCACAGCTAGGCAAGCAACAAACTGCCTTGGCCTCAGTGGATCTGCACACTGTTGTTGCTTCACCAAAGGTCACTCCCGCCAACGGAGCTCGAAAGGTATAAGAAGGGCCAGAGTATGCGCATCTGTGGTTTGCTGGGTCTCCATCCTTCTAACTCAATCACCAGCGCCGTTGAAAGGTTTTCTCAGTCGCCCGCTTGTTTGGTCTCGTTCAGACACAACATCCAGAACTGAAGTAGATTTGGCGATCACCCCTATTCAACCATGGCGTCCCAACCTGAAGGGTCAAACCCACATTCACCACTCGAAGGCTGGTCCTTTCTCGACTCTGACACCCAGTCCGAATTTTCCACTTCGAGTTCACTTGAGGAAATCTTCGAGCAGAATCGCCTGCATCTGACCGTCAACCCTCTGGACCCATTCTTGCCGACGATTCGTCCCGATGGCATGTTCTCCGACCTCATTCCTGATGAACGACAACCTGCCTCGCCCCCTCTTCTCGGCACCGACTACCATATTCCCATGGCTGGAACGGATCTCGACCACCATGACGGTGTATTGAGCAACTCGAACGCCACCTTTCCCGGTGCTGGATGTCGACTCGAGGGCCACTCGGAAGCCAACGTCTCCACCGATTCTAATTTAGCTAGAGATGCTGCGCCTAACCAGACGCAAATCTTCCTCGAAGAACTCGATTCCAACACCCTTGAATTCCTGGAGAGCGTCCACACCTATGACTTGATGGAGAGGGTCTCCTCCGACAACTCTGGTCTCGGCGGTATGGGTTTCTTTGCTGATACACCAACCGAGTTCGCTCCAGAACTAAACCAGTCACAGGCTGTTCAAGGTCTGGATCATCTCAACACATTTGATGGCGACTTCTGGTTTTCGTTTCCCACTGACGTGGATATATGGTCACCTCTGCCTCCTGATATGCTAGACAACAATGGCCACCAATCTTTCGATCCTAGAGCTCCAGGGGAGGTACAGCTGAACTCCATGGCTGATATGTACGGGTACTCCGAACTCCTGGCCCAACCCGCTCCAGGTCCTGTCCCTCAGTATCTCGCAGCTGACGCTCCTGCGAATCAAGGACGCGGACATCCTGGCCCTTTCGCTGCTCAAGCACGACCAAAGGCACCCGTCGCGAAGGCATCTGCCCCGCTTCGTCGCTCTGACCGTTTGCGAAACAAAGCCCACAAAGGGGTAAGTGGAAGGTAAGTTATCCCTGTAACACTGGGTTCTCCCGTGGTTTTTCTGCTTAGATCAATCACTACAACCCCCTACTCCCTCCTCCCCCTTTTTTTTCTTTCTCTTCCCCCCTTTCCCCAGCTTCCCCTTCCCCAAACACCCAAACAAAATTCTGAAAATTCCCACAAAAACTTCTCCCAAGAGCAACTAGCCACCCCCCCCCCC